ACACCCCCCCCCCCCCAACCAGCCCCCCCGCCTCCCACCCCCCCCCCATCCTACCACACCCAGACCACCATCCTACCACACCACCACCTGCCTACCACACCACCACCTGCCTACCACACCACCACCATCCACCCTACCACACCCGCCTACCACACCACCACCATCCTACCACACCCAGACCACCCGCCTACCATACCACCACCATCCTACCACACCCAGACCACCAGCCTACCACACCACCACCATCCTACCACACCCAAACCACCGCCTACCACCCGTTCACATTTCCAATATGGCCGCCACGACTTCCAGCGCTATGTGTACGGATCTTTATGAAGAGTTACGTCATTAGTGATCTCTACACTTCCATACAATAAAGTCCCGGAAACATTCACCTCAGGCGCGGTTCTTTTCTCTGGTCGTTCAGAATTAATGGGCGCTGGTCCCTTTAAGAGATTAAAATGGGTTTGTTGCCATACGGAAAGGGGGGGAGGGGGAGGTGCGGATTAGGATGTTCCACAGTACCGCGGATCTCACTTAATGGACCAGGCCTAAATCTCTTCAAAGACCGTTCTGGCTGGTTCCTGTCAGAGCTCCTTGACCATCGAGGTTCTGGTGGTATCTCAATCTTCACTTCCGAGGCAGGAGAACATCGGGAAGGTTCCTGCATAGAACGTCACTCTCTACTACCACTCCCATCATCTCTACACGGGGCAGACAGAAGCAGCTTGGTCCCTCAAAGCCATAACGTCCTGATCTTCCAGCAGGCAAGACCTTCACAGGTTCCTCCCGGAAAGAGAGCTCACCGCGTCCTTCTACGTCCCAAGGCCTAAAACAGACCGACCTCTGAGGTGACATCCTCCAAGCACAAAGGCTCGGGGAGGGACGAGACAGAACAGGAAGTGTCCTAGATAGGTAATAGTTCTCCCAGCATGCCTCACAAGGTTCTCCAGTCCCACCGATTGGCCATCAGATATCCAACATAGAATCAGAACTCTCTAGCACTCTACTTTGTGGTCGCTCTCGGAGGACCTGATGCTCTCGGAGAAGACACTGTCCTCCATTTGGTGGTTTTGGGTGTCCTGCCTACCCCAGACCCTCCCTCCTGAGTGTGATACTACGGAGCAATCAATACTAAGAAGACCCCCCATGAACCGAGTCTGTTCTGTGGTTAGAAGTCTTGTTGCCGGGGGACCCGAAATTACCAGCAACCTCTCTGGGGGGGGTCATCACTAGAGAAGAATCAGCGGCTAGATCTTCACCTGGAGAGGACACGTGTGTGCGAAATACCACTGAACATGTATGACCCAAGACAACACAACAACGTAGTGTGGATATAGAATTATATACTTAGGATGTATCCGGTCTATAAATGGCGGCTCTGGATGGACAGTTGGATAAATGGCTCTATATTTAGGATGTATCTGGTCTATAAATGGCGGCTCTGGATGGACAGTTGGATAAATATCTTATTACCTCCTCTGCTGCCAGTTCCAGCAATGTCTCTTCTCTACTTCCTTTCTGCTCACCTCTGACCCGGAACTTCCTGTCTGTAGGAACAATAGAGACTTCCTGTCTGCATGTTTGGATACTCTGTGAGATTGCCGCCTTGTGGAGAATATAAGAACTGCAACCATTTCTCTATATTTTCATGTTTTATCACCAGAGAAATCACAGATCGGCTCCGATAGACGCGTTACCCCTCTGTGGGCGATGGCGGCCTCATCAATGTGTGTTTTCTGGCCTCCGGACCTCCTACACCCCCCGTGACCCAGACACACAGTATATATATATATATATTCATCACTCTCCAGGGTGGAACGCATTCTTACTACTAGTATCAGTGCCAATACTGAGTATTTGGGCGAGTACTCCCGTACCTGATCCCTGACCTCCTGATCCTGCTGCCTGTACCTGATCCCCGACCTCCTGATAATGCTGCCTGTACCTGATCCCCGTCCTCCTGATCCTGCTGCCTGTACCTGATCCCCGACTTCCCGATCCTGCTGCCTGTACCTGATCCCCGACCTCCTGATCCTGCTGCCTGTACCTGATCCCCGACCTCCAGATCCTGCTGCCTGTACCTGATCCCCGTCCTCCTGATCCTGCTGCCTGTACCTGATCCCCGACCTCCTGATCCTGCTGCCTGTACCTGATCCCCGACCTCCTGATCCTGCTGCCTGTACCTGATCCCCGTCCTCCCGACACTGCTGCCTGTACCGGACCCCC